ACAACAATCCCCCATCGAATACAGAGGGCGTAACAAAATTACAATTCAATTCACACGCATCAACATTTTAAAGCTATCAACAACAATGATCAACAACTCTGGGGATGTAACCTGTCTCTTATACACATCTAGATGTGTATAAGAGACAGACTTTACTATCACCGCTGCCACCCCTTTATGACTTGAATAAAAAAAAAAAGAAGAAAAATGAGCAAATATAATGCATGTCTGCCTACCTATCATTAGCTTCTTCATAGGCCCAACTTTTTTTTAAACTCGATTTAAATGGTTCATGAATTTGTTTTTTTGCGGAGAGTTGTCTATTCCCACTTAAGTTAGTCCGTCTAACACCATGTTTCAAAAAGAACATATTCGTTTCTTATTTTGTTCAGGTTTTCAGTTTATATGATTTTTCCTATCCCAACTTAGTAAACTTGTCAATATCACTTTACATCTTTGTATGGTGTGTGTGCTTCTTTTGCAGACACCTTCACTGGGTTCACGTTATACCCATCATGTTTGATATTCCAATATGAGTTCAATATATCGTGTTTTTTCCTCCTTTTCAATGTCCAACAAATTTTGTTAACTTGGTGGGGTGTCTTCGCCCGGTAAAGTTATGGGTAGTGTTACCGACACAAGCTTCTTAGACAGTGGAGCCCATAATTGTTCTACTGGGTTTTCAGCTGAATGGCTGGCTGCGTGGTTAACTAACGAATAATAATCGAAATTTAGATCTCTCCACAGCCGGCCATGTGAAATTAAAGTTTTTGTGGACTCTTTTTTTTGTGGTATGACAGCACAAGGCTTGCAGTTCCATTATTCTTCTCACCAAGTTCAGTTATTATTTTGTGTAAGCCATTGGCATTGCAAGCTCTGTTAAACACGTACATGGGTCCTGTCCGGCCATAGCTGACCCTTGTTTGCTTAAATTTGTCGATGTAAAACCGGTGCTCCACGTCTGAATTGATTACTGTTGGGGACACAGACCTCGATCTCGTCGTTTTAGGTCGCATACCCATTCTTTCTTCACTTCTGTTTTCAAAATCAAATATCTTGAGGGAACTGTTTTGGAGTCGGAGTACGGGAAATCGTGGTCAAAATAGTCAGGCTGATCATCCTCTAGGTAAAAACGATTGATTTGGTGGTACCAACATTTATTTTGTTCTTGTCATCGCATTATATTTTCAACCAATCGTTTTTATAATATTTGAATGCCTCATTCAGCATTGCGATTTGCGAGCGGCAAAAATGTAAGTCTTCATGTTCTCTCCGAACAGCCTTATTAGATTTTCTATGTAGCGTTTACCACTAATCGTTTTATGTCGCGGTGGTGTCATCAATCGGTGAACAGTATATTTGCTTAAACCTTCCTCTTTCAGGTTTTCATTATTTTTTTCAAATGATCGGTTATCTGTTGCAGAGTAACAGATTGGAATCGAGCCAATGTAAAGGGTAATTCCTTCATTAACAAATGGGCAAAGTCAATTAGTTTTCAAAGATACGGTGTTAGATTGTTTTTTCAGAAAAACATAATTTAAATAACTTATAGAAAGACTCCGCATGATAAAAAGTACATCGAAGCATAAACCAACATATAAAACATTAAATTAAATTTAGACTCTATGAGGATGGGTGAGAGTGTTCCATGGATTGAGTTAATAATGTTGAGCGCTAGGCTTAGGCCTATATAAAAAGCTGTACATACAGTATTTTATCTTGAATATTATTGTGTAACTAAGCTAAGCTTTTAATAATGATTCGACCTTAAAAATCTGTTTTGAACATACTTAAGGAAATAATAATAAAATATGCTTACTTGTCTCTGTAAAAGGTTTAAAGGTAGATTCATCGGTATGTTTTGGGAACTGCTCTACTGCTTCCTCCCCGTGATAAAACTTTCACACATTCAACAAACTTGGTTTTTGACTGCATTAGGGTAGATCTGGGCAAGTGGGCCATTTAAGGATTTATTACATCATATCTTCAACAGTATGTAACTAAAGAGGCCCAAATTACTACTGGTGGTAGGGCAGACATCCATGCAGGTATCACAAAAAGTTTTTGTTAAAGTGAAGCATATTATGGGTCATAGGGTCACTTTTCCGAAATGTTGTCAGCGGCCCACTTAACCCACCGAACTGGGGCAAGTGGGTCACTCTAATTTATGCTCAATTATAATCATTTTACGTACAATAAACTCAATAAATACCACAAAACAAAACATGTTGATTATTATTTTTGAAACAAAATTAATTATGTTAATCATTTGAAATAGATGTAAATGAGTTTTAAGTAGCAAAAGTGCAACATTTCAATACGCGATACAAACATTTTTTATATCAATTTACCATAAAGGGTAAATACAGCCTCTGTTTTAGTTCATAAATACAATGTAGGCCTGGCTGTAGCATGCTTTATAGAGTTTGTACATTAGGCTTAATCATCATCTGCACAATTACGGCAAAGAAATTTCGCAAGTGGAGTTCTTCTGCCAAATAGGCCGGTGCATGTCTCATGAACCCAAAGTTTACATGGGCCTTTACACTGCCACCAGTCGTCATCACCTTCCTCCTCATCCCATTAATATCCATTGCAATGTACACAAAAGTCAGAAACCTGCTGCCCCTTGATTCTGACTTTCAGGTTGCAGGTGTTTTGATTAACGCTTGCATTTTCCTCCCTTTTGTGGCTGCTTATTATTCTGCTTTCGCCTCATCCTTTTGGTCACGCTTTTCCTTCTCTTTCTCTTTCTACTCTTTTTTTCATCTTTTCTGCTTCTACCTCTTGTTTTGCTTTTTCTTTCGCTTAAGTTCACTCTGAATTTCATCAGAAGTGAGGCAACGTGATGATGTTATTTGTCAGGATTTCTTCCCATTCATCACCTTCTCAATAGTAGGTCTTTTAAGGATATGAGAAAACATCTGCGATGCATTGCTGCATGATGGCGCTTCATTCATATGAACAACTTTTACGACAGTGTCCGATTGGTTAGTAGCTGGCTTTTCCATGTCATTGATATGCTCCTCAATCAAGGGTTGAGGAATTTCAGAAGTAGGCCTAGGTTGCTTTAAAAAGCATGCTTGTTCCGCTACTTTGAGGGTTAGCCTCACCTAAACCTTGTAGATTCATAAAGAACTAGAGAAAAGAAATTGATTATTCGTACTTTACTAGGCCTATTTACACAATTGTAGTATTGTACTGTAATTTAAGAATTATCAATATAGATATTCAAGATCTTAACAGACTAAATTTGATCTAAATTGTATTTTGCAGTTCAATGATAATCTATACACGTAAAGTATATTATCTGTTTTATTAAATACAGACATAAAAGTACATTATCTGTTTTATTAAATACAAGAATATTGGTGGGTAAACTACTGTAAAGAGTTCTATCATATTTATCCCCAAAATGGATACCAGTAATGTATAAAGATAGATGCGTATAGGACAACAAGGTATTGCTTGTACTACTGCACTGATGTTTGCATTTAAATGTTCGATTTAACACAATTCGTGGTACTGTAATATAAAAATGTTATCCTACCGACTTTTAAATTTTTCTTGGGCTTCGCATCTTTCACCAGACCAGTGCGGTACGAATCGAACAGTTGTGACGCCTTAGCATAGCATCGCTGGCTGTATAGGGCAACTTGAAAAGTGGGTTCAAGTGAAAATATAACCTGTATCACAGAAAGTTGGTTAGTTAACATTAAGGCTTTTTGTGAAATATATAAATACATTAATTTTATACATGATATTTAGGAACCCATCGGCAACAATCTATCAGTCAATATTTTTCAGTAGTTACGGTAGTAACAATAACAAATATATTCTATTCAATTCAAGTATAAATATAAGGGAAAGAAGCCAATGGGTGTCGTTGAAAGTTAACTACAGACGATTCTAATATAATATTAATATAATAATCAAAATTTAAAATTGTAGGGGATAATAGGATATGTTGAGTGCAGCTGTTTTTTGTGAGTTAGTTCTTAAAAGAGGAATTGAATACTTAAAAAAACAAACACTAACTTTCTTGTCAATGGACACCTTTCCCAGTGCCTCTGCGCATTTTCATCTCCATGTAGATGCCGTTGCTATATCCCTGCTATCACAGTCTTTCAATAGGCCGTGGCATATGGCGACATTGTCTTGGAACGTTGCCGAGTGGGTGTTTGAAGTAACGTTTTGTTTAGAAGCCACCTTCAACGCTTCTGTTCCTTCTAAGCCACAGTATACAACATCCAAAGTTCTAAAGGAATCATTATCCAATGTTTCCAACGCCATTCTCAAATGATTTCCGCCAAGAGACATAAAAGTACATTTTTCCAGTTGGCCGCTCTGTAACAGTTCTAGCTGGTCTTCCTGGAGAAGAACTGGTAGTACTTATTTGTACCCCATCTTCATTTAAAGCTGCCATTATTTTCTTTACAAATTCTTGGTTAATCTTGCATAGCAGCAGTTCGGAGGGTGGTTCTACTATTTGTGTTCTTGGAACTACAGCAGTCCCTGTCAATACATTAATAAACAAAATACAGATTAATAGTAGATAACATTTTTTTTTATTATATATGTTGAAGCTTATATATATATATATTATATAGATATATTTATATATATATACTATATATATATGTATGTATATATATATATATATTACAAAGTTTATAGCTCGTTCTTATGTTTTAAATGTTCATATATATAATGAAGTTACTATAATTAAGTAAAAGCTTACTCAAATCCAACAAAATTTTAAACCCATACATATATTATATATACACACATATACGAAAATTAAACAAATATTTTTCTGACAGATTGCATGTATTTAAATGTAGTGTATTGCAATCTTGCATATAATTTTCAAACAGATGAATGTGGGATTTATGAGCTGCTTACATGTCCTTGTTTGTTGTATTGTAATTCTTAATGGCTTCCCGGTAATTGAACTCGCTAGCTTTACACAAATTATTTGCTTCTTTGTATGTTACGTGTCATTTCTGTAGCACCAGGTAAACTACCGCTTCTTTAAATGCAACGCATCTCAAATAGTTGTCTGTGTTCCTGTTGGAAAATTGCCAAAAATTAATTACAGAATAAGAACAGATTGAGGCTGAGGTGTAATGTCAAATAAAGTTTTTATTTAAAAAATTCGAATACATCAGTACCATATTTGCACTCCATTTATTTGAAGTATGTCTGACAGAAATATACTGCTGTGCAAAAATATTATCATAACTGGTACCTTATCCCTGTAATACTCAAAACCAGATTCCTGGGCAGACGTTATATATTCATGCTACATCATTTCAGCACTTAAAACAATACTTTGTAATGTAAGTAATTGAAAATGAAATGTGCAAATATTTCAGTAAAATTTTAAATATTTATATATTGTAAAGTTATAATATTGATGCTTACATTGTATCAGCTCCGCAAAACTGATTAAATTCTGCTGTCTTAGGCAGTCCCTGAACAAGGAGTACCATTGGTGAAAGGTATGGCTCTCTATATAAAAAATAAAATAAAATCACGGTTATATTCATGTAACAGTAGCATCCACTGCGGTAAGCATGTCCGTGTAAAAACAGGTCAACAAGTTCCCCTTTTGTCTTTGGTAAAACGGTTGTAATCCCAATCGATTATTTTTTTAACATTAAGATACAGTACAGTGTTCTAAAGTATGAGATATATTATTCTTATAACGTGCATCATAAATAGAGTACACTGGATTGGAGATGTTCGAAAGGAAATTGAACAAAGCTTGTACTGCAGGGGCAAAAGAAAATAAAGAAAACGAAAAAATGATAGCCCGAATGCCTCGAATGTTATTTTTGGGCGTCTGGAACACTATAAGTTAGTAGGGGTATGCCCCCGGACCCCTAGGACAATGTTGTCTCGATCGGCCCAAATTTCGGCCCCCACCCCCTTTGACCCCACTCTTTTTGACATCTCTGAATCTGTAGTTGCAATTGTTATTCGTCCATTGTTAATGGTTTTTATTGATTTATTTATTTTTTTACTTTTACTGTCAATATGTTTGAAGTTGTCTCTTGTAAGTTTTTCTCCATTGTATAATGACATCTATGCAGTTCATATTTTATTATGGTACCGCCTTTTTTTTTGTACATTTTTTGCAGTGAAAAAACTGAAATTACATATTGTAATTGCCAACTCGCCCAGCATACGTGTTGTAGCACATTTTTCGGATCACCAAATCACACATATGAACGTATGCCTAAAACAGAGCACCACATTGGTAATTGTAAAAGAAAACCAAATACCCAACATAATAAAACCATTAACAAACAAGTAGGCGTACTTAATTTTTAAAAACTAAATTTTATATACGTGCATTGTAGTTATGATAAGATTGTGATCAATATTGTCGATATATAGGCTATCATGTTATTTTCATTATTTATAATACCATAAAATGTATCTAAACAGCTTAATAATGTTTGTTACTTACATCTTCGTCTATTTGGTCGGCAGCGAACCCTGCCATTTCCCTCTCGCGGCATAGCACATTATATGGATTCCCCATAAATTCTACGAGTCTGTCGCTTAAAAAAAGCAAATGTTGTGTTTGCTTGGTATGTCAATTTGTTTGTGTTTGGTTAAGAAAAATAAATAAATTTACTCACTTAAAAAGTTCTAAAAAAAAATAAATAAAAACTTACTCATGTTCGGAACAATTGATGTTCTAGGCCTTATTATTATTATTATTATTCATTTTGCTTATCCTTATTTAACGTGAGCGATCGACCGAAAGTTGGTTCTTGTGCTGTACAGCCCTTTTTGTTTGGCATATTTAACCGTCATACCGGTATGTTTCCAAATTTTCATTTTTTTATATCATATTTGAATGAGAGCATTTATGTAATTTAATACTAATAATTATTTATATTGAACTACCACTACAAATTTCAGTTACACCATGGAGGTATTAATACCTCCATGGTTAAACAAACAGAAAACAAAATACACACGAACGATATTTCACTTACTTCGCCTCCACAACTTTTTGTTGCATCACGTCTAGTATTCTTTTTCTGATTCCATCAAACTGTGCAAAAAGAAAAACAGTTTTATGTTTGTTATGTTTATTAGACCACCCTTCTTCATTTCTAAACATCATATTGCTATTAAAGAATCACTCTTCAATAGCTTAACAGAAGCTGTTGTACATGAAAGTGATAATGACAAAAACATAATTTAATTATTTTGGGATCATAAATTTATGTTTAAGTATTATTTATATCTTTTACTATTTTTACTTTTCGGCGGTTGACCTATCTAATATTATTGAAACAGTTATTATTTTTGTAATGTGTATTGGTTATGAATAAATTTTATGGAAAACGTACCTGAGAATTTATGTCTTCCTGATTTATTTTCCTTTCAAGCTTTTTCCTATGGAAGTAACACAATTAAGATAAATTATATTCTGTTTGAACTATGGATAACATCTTCTGCCAACATAACCTATTTAAATAGTCCATATTACCTTTTATTTTCCCGATCAGTGGACCAATTGGCCGAGAACCGTTTCTGAAATTAATTGAACATTTTTTTATGTAAATCGATACACAAAAGTCATCGTTATACACAACTTTTCTTTTTTACGGTGTATAGAAACTTAAAAACTTAAAGTGAGTATTTATTGATGACTTACCTTCGCTGGACATGGCCTGTTATGTTGTTGTTGTTTTGTTGTTGTTGTTGTTGTTGTTTGGGGGCCAATTATATACCCCAAATGTATAGTTGGCAGGTCCCCTTCACTGGGGGACAAATTTCCAATGTTAGCGTGGACGATATAAGTTTTATTTTGCACTGTAGCTTCCACGCTGCCACTGCAAGGACAATTTGGTCCCCCCAAACTCCAGATGTTCTTATGTTGGCGATACAGGTTGTCCAGTTCACTCCCATGTCAATTAAATCTTGTTTAACCTTCTCCTGTTGAATGTTGATAAAAATTGATATTGATAACGATGATGATTACATAACAACAATGACATAAATATGCATATACAACAGTAATGCTTATGTTAACAAAACTACTATTATTGTTAAATAAAAAAAAACTTTGAAAACAATATTAACAATAGTAATAACAACAACAGTAACAAGAATAATAACAGCAATAATGATAATGACAATAATAATAAAAATGGCAATAATACAAGTAATAGTAACAATAACAATAATAATAATAATAATAATTCTAATAACAATGATAATAATAATAATAATAATAATAATAATAATAATAATAATGAAAATTAATACTTAAACATTTATGCCACTGTTAGAATGTAGGGTTATACCAACTATATATTGTTTATTTTCTTAATTGAATGTACATAACCCATGGCCATACTAACCTGCCAGTGTTCTTTGTGCATTGATAGAAATTCTGCTATTGCGTGTCTTAATTCCAAGTGGGTAATGCCGCTCCATTTCAGAAAGACATTCGCCCGATATGCCAGTGCGTGGAATAAGCAATTTCCATCTCCCGGTGTCGCTGGAGTCGTGAACATCAGCCCATTTTCACGTAGTTTCTTGTCAAGAGCATCTACTCGATTACTACTTTCGGTAGCACTTTTTATTGACTCCTGGATGGCATCTATTTGGTTAAGTGTTTCAGCCACATATGCTGAAAATTAAAAATCACAGTAAAAAGAAATATTCTATATACGCCCTAACATTATTTCGTTTCAGGTACCATACTCCTAGTACAATTTTCAAATAATAATAAATCGATAAATCGGAATAAGTACCGTATACGAGGTACCGTACTGCAGCACATAAACCAACATATTGCACATGACTTACCATTCATTCCCTCGTTCCATGATTCTGGAAAGGATTCAATGATCTTTACTTGCCTTCTGTACTCTTTGGTATCTATTTAAAAATAGAAAACCAAAACGTGCACATGTTAAACTAATATGTTTTAGTTTGTTTACAGACTAATTTCAATATGCCGTTGCTACACTAAAATATAGTCAATACAGTCAGTAGTGGTGAAATAAATACAGGCAAATATACCGAAGGCAGCATGATGATCTTCATCTGTAGCGGTGGGTTCACTCACAATAAGCCATGGCTTAGTATTATCATCTTCTGCTGTAAAAATTGTGTTTTTTAAAATATTTCTACGAACAGAGTTTAGTGCATTCACAACCAAAAATGTGATTGGTTGGTCAATTGAAATTATTACAAAATGAAAAATTACATTTTGAAAAAAACTAAAACAAAATAGTAAACACTGTAAAGGTTATTTATATAGGCCAACATACATAGAAATATGGATATGCTATTACGGCAGTATAAACGGTCCATCGGTAAATATTTGTCATACTTTTCCTATAGACCTAAATGTATTCCATTCTGAACAAACTTACCTTCTGTGCCTTCTTGCAATTGCAATAAAGTTGTAGCAGCAGCCTCAATGTCGAAGTCATTTGTAAAAAAATGGTATGTTAAACCCAAAAAAAAAAAAAAGACATTTATAATAGAACAGACGAGGAAATAGCTAGAAAAAATACATACAAAACAAAATTCAGATCAGCTGAATGTAATATTGCGCAATGTGTGTATGAATGAAAATAAAATGCATCAATATGCTTTTTTGTTTTTCGTCTACTGTCCATGTTCTTTTGTAGTGTCACTAGTCCATTTTATTTATGAGATCTAGGACCTTGACAATCATATTTATAGTCTTTGAGTGTATGGAGCTGTTGAAAACATTTGTACTTGTGTACCGCGACATACTTTTCCTTCCGGTGGTGAACATACAACACATGCAAGCCGCTGACGTTTTCCATTAGAAAGAAAAACTGGATTGAGAGTGTCTGTAGTGTGGAGTCAGCTCTTAATCTCCCCCCCCCCCCTTCTGCTGTACTCTTCTTCTACTTTTACTTCTCTCTCTCTGAATCTGTGATGTGGGGTGTGTTTAGATTAAGTCACCCCCATATTTTTAGAGTTTTTGATTTGATGATTTAAAAGCTTATTTACCAAAAAGTTGCTAATAAAGATATTACAAACTTTATAAAATTGGCTTAAAACTGTCACTCATAGAGGGTGGAATGTTAATGTCCAATTGTCACTTTAAAATGACTAATAATCTAATAATAGTTAGTAAACCCATTTAGGTTTCAAGCTATGTTAAACCAAGTTTAAAATGTTCAACAGGTTTGGTGTCAAGTGAAAGGTATCAATAACAAATTCCAATGGTTTAAGTTAAATATCATTGAAACTTAATACTACATTACAACAAAAAGACATGGTCCCATTTTCCATCATAATCAGATTTTTGGAAACCTTTGCAAGTTTATGGTGCTTTCGGGCAGTTGATAAATCTCTGATGAATCCCAACTGTAGAGTTTGCTAGGCTCTACAGGTTATTTGACTACTACTTATGCATAGACTACAATTACGAACAAAAACAATTATTGCCGAGACTTACCATAACTCGTTCTAGGCCTAACCTAGGCCTAGAAGTATTAGTCATATTTTTACTAAAAGTCTTAGGCATAGCATTTTCAAATATTTTGTAATATTGCATATTCCATATAAAATGTTTGTACAAGCAGTTCTTTTTTTGCCCATAAAGCACGTCTACTCTATGCCTAGCCTGTCTGTAGGCCAGCCCTAGCCTCTGTATGCCAAGATTCCTGCCTCACTAGGCATGGGGGTCCATGATCTAGGGCATATTGTAGAAACAGTCCCTTTGTTTCATACATACATCATACTAAATTCTAACTACTGCTTAACTACAAATAGTCAAGCCGAGGACTCACCATTAGAGATATTCTTCTGATCTCCGAATGTACTGGTAAGTCCAAAGCAACGTAAGGTTTTTCGATCAATGTATTCTCAAGTCGTCACTGTACAAGTGTGGGTCGAGCTGACATCGCTCATTCCTTTTATATTGCGGCTTCCTGAGGTCACAGGTCAAAGTTCAAGTTCAATTCAGCCAGCTGGCACTACATTCCTCCTTGTTTTAATTTTTTTTTGTTTTCCTTGGTCTCGAGCAGGGGCCTCCACTGCTGCCCAGTTGCACGCTCAACACACTTCCCTCTCCAGCTTTTTAAGAAACGCCTGACTGTGCCAACCCGAAAAGACCAGTGGAATAGGCCAATAACAAAATAAAAATGTGGGAAAGGGACTGTGGTAGATCCCCAATCAAAGAGAGCAGGAACGCCCTCCAAATGAAGGAATTTTCCCGCTGTAAGAAGAATAAAATAAAATTTCCATTTTATTTGCTTATTTTGTATTAAATTTGTATGAATACTTGCGATATATTTTCTTTTCGTCAGGGCCTCTTTTCTAGAAAATGGCTTTTCTCACTTAGAGATAATTTTAATTACTCCTCAATCTGTGTCTTTAAAATGTTGTTTTATAGCCCATATTTAACAGTTATTGAAACTATTTGGATCACCTTCTCATCTTCAGCATTATCTATTCCTAAAATTTTCTCATCAACTTGTCTGATATTCTGGGTTTGTTTGTATGTAGGCCTATCTCTCTTTTATATGCAACTCAGGACAATCTACCCCAATACTGTATGTAGTCTATTTTCTGTTGCTCACGTTAATTACAGGAAAATCTACATCTTTCAGGTGGTCCCAATCCTTACATACTCGGGTCTTTCTCAATTACCATTTTATTTATTTCTCCATGACACTCAGAGATCAATTGGAAATGAAATCCATTCACCAGCTGAATATACAGAAAATTGCAAACTAAAAATTTTTCTTAAGTCATACCTTATTTCTTGACTTCAGAGAAATCTCATACATTTGTTAGATTTTTCATTGATTTCTAGTTCAAATTTATTTCCGGCACTTCTGGATAACTTTAAGACCATGGCCTAGCTTTTGATTTCCTGTAGTGTTTCCACTAGTGCCATCAAGTCCCACTATTTTTATTATAATTTCTCAATTGCTGTACCTTTGCAAAACATCATGTCGAAAAGCAACATCTTCAACTTCAATCTGCAATGCAGATTTTAGTGATTCAAATTAGAGATGGGGTGTCTGAGGGCTGTAAGGACAATTCAGTTAGTATTACTGCATACTATAACTGTGGGTGTCACATAAACTGTTAAATCATGTAAAAAAAAAGCCTGCTCAATGAACCATGTGTCAACAAGGCTTCGTTTTGTACAAGCACATTATTTTGTTCCGCTGTTTGGTTTAGGCACAGTATTGGCCGTTTCTTATACAAATTTCATTTGAAAGTGCAGCAATTTTTAATTCGCATTCAATTTGAAGAGCACCAAGGCATGCATGCCAAACCTAAATAAAGACTGACACTTGAAAGAAGCTTAATTCTCTCTACTTTCCATTATTGGCAGATGTTAAACCTAGAACTCATGCATTAGGCACCTTTGTAATTATTACCATGGAAGAAAGAAAAGATTTCATGGTGCGGATATAGTTGGCAAGTTTGTTAAATAGAAAAAAAATTTAATGATACTTTAATTAAGCGAATGAACATGAAATCATCCACACAGACTATATATATTATTATTATTATCCTAGGCCTATACTTAACACTAAATCTTAAAGCTATTCCTTTATTTAAAAAAATGAACTTATCGTTGATACAAGCAACAGTAAATTAAAATATTTTTGCAAGATAACACAGTTTTCTAGTGAATTGTATACATACATTTTAACAAGGATTCTGTTAAAAACAATGAGGCCATCAAAATATTTTGAAGCTAAATCAATAGGGAGAATGGCTAAATTTTACTGAATGGAATTTGCAGCTACAGTGCATCGATGCAATTTTGTCGGTATATGAAACTACCAAAATGATGCCCTGGTTAAATTTTTCATATCATTGACAAGAAGGATTATACAGTAATATTGAATGGAAATTGCAGAGACAGTGGATTAGTTTAGCTTTGTCAAAATAATAAGAGGCCACCTGTATGATGGCAAGAATGGCCATGATACTAAATGGAAAATGCAGAGCATCAGAGCATCAGGGCCCTTGTCAAAATATAAAGAGTTCACCAGAATGATGCCAAGCTTGACTTTCCAAATCATTGGCAAGAATGGCCATGATACTAAATGGAAAATGCAGAGCTACAGAGCATTAGGGCCCTTGTCAAAAAATAAAGAGGTTACCAGAATGATGCCAAGCTTGAATTTTCCATATCATTGGCAAGTAAGCCTTGATAAATGGAAATAATTGCAGCTATACAGAGCATCTGGGCCCTTTTGTCTATATAAAAGAATAATGCAAAGCTTGAGTTATCCATATCGTTGGTAAGAATGGCCGTGATAAATACGGTAAATGGAAACTGCTGCTACAGAGGATCGGGTCCTTTGACAAATAAAATGAAATCACTAGATTGATGCCAAGCTTGACTTTTCCGATTGATTCCAAGCTTGACTTTTCCAAAAGCATCTAAACTAAAAAAATAAAAAATCATAATTCAGAGTTTATTGGAAAATAAAATCAGCAACTTTTAAACTTTAATATATTTTTTTTTTTATACTTTTGAATTAAAAAGACGTTATGTTGATTTGGATAAATATTTTGAATTGATTAATGATCAGAATGCTTGTTTCAACGATCACTTCATGGCCAGAATGCAATGATATAAAATTGCAGCCTTTTTGGCATTTCGCTAAAAATTTATTGTATAACCATGCAGATACATTTCCCAGCACCAACCGTATTCTCCTCAATGAAGAATCCATATTTAATTACTGTTAATCTCCCGCTTTGGTGGGTTGCGCAAAACCTACAATTTTCTAACATTTTTGGTGCAGGCTGAGAAGTGCGCCAAACAAAACACATAGATAAATGAAAAAAAATTATTCTTTAGATTTTTAAATTTCATGAAATTGCAGTACATCCTTATGTACACTATCACTATTTGAACAGAGAAAATTCTTACTACTCTTCGTCCTCACCTTCTCCTGCATAGTTGAAAACCACTCTCTCATCACATCGATGCCCCTCGGCCCGCCGACCTCCTCTGATGTCTTTCTCATTCTAGAAACAGCCTCGTCGACGGGTTCGTTCCTCATCTTGCCCCCATCGATGGATTTCATGTGCCCACGGAAGGCAAGAAGCATCATTTGCTTGTAGATATCTTCTCTTTTGTAAAATATTTGAATTTGTTGTTTGATCGATAGGGGAAGATTATCTTTCCGTATTTTTCTTATTGAGCATACTTGTGCTCTCCTTATTGTGTGTCGATTGACGTTTGTTGCTCGTGCAATCAAACTTGTGGCACAGTTTCTAAGTTTTCTTGTTGATAGGATATGGTGCAGTACTTTTCTGTGCACACTATCCCTCACTTTTCCTAACTGGTTTATTATTTCATTTCTAACATTGCCTTCAATGTTGACATACTGGTTGACACACGCTTGGCTTATTTTTGCTGCTCTAGTTCCCCTTTTTTTCTTCTCTTCTTTTTCCTTGTGTCTTCTATGTTTTTGAGGTGCAGCATACAGACGTTGTCTGCTCTTCTGTTTCATGATTCTTCAATATGCCCTTATGGCATCTTTATTTTCCTCCTGTTTCCTGGTAGATCTTGTAGGTTGCAAGCCACCCTTCTTTTTAACTATTTTCACTTTCATTTTTTGTGTCATTGGAACATTTTTTCTTCCTTCGTTCTTTTTTTTTTGCCCTGTCTCGTTGCAGCCTACTTTTCTCATGATCTCGAGCCAGTATTTCTATCAGGAGCTACTTTTAGGTACTGTCGTCTCTCTTGTGAATGAAACTTTTTCTTTCGTAGATATTCGGCATACTTTTCTGGATTATTTTCCTTTTGCCGATAGCTTTTCTTCTTGTTATCTTGAAACAAAATCCAATCAGATACGTGACAATATGAAGGGCGTACAATAATGTAGTCCTTTGATAGTACAAGACCTAAGATTAGTATGCATTGAATTTAGGAGAAAATATCATAACTAATTTGAACACAGGTAACAACATCGGATGTGTGCATCGGATGTGGATCTGTATGCAGGATGAACATCCTGAATGTTTTAAAAAAGTCATATGATTTTTATTTGACCTTTGACACCTTTGGACCACCTCTATATTTTCATATAAATGTTACCATAATGTTAATGTCAAGTGACACCACAGCATGGTTCTGTCCAAAAAATTGTGACACTAGCACAATGTCTTTCTAAACAAACATTAAATGTTTGCACTATGATTGTCAAACATTATGTTACCATAGCACTGTTCTGTCTAAAGAATTGTCAAACTAGCACAATATCTGTTAAAAAATGAGATGAGATGCTTGTGAATATGGACGGCAGTACAGTACAGATAAATTATAACCAGGTGTGTATTGCCTTTTCTTAATATTTTTCCCCATTACTTTTTTTTGCAAAGCAATATAATGTACATTGGCTGTTGTCACAAGGATATAAGTAAAAGCTTGCATGTGCGCCATAGGCTCCAAGCTTTCTTATTACATGAAGGTTAAATAAATAATTTCTTAATCAGTTTGCAGCTTATATAGCAATACTGTACAGGTATCAACATTAAGGCACTGCTGATTATAAAACTTTTTTCTGTCATTAATTAAAAATTTTGAAAAAAATAGTACATATCCTTGGAAATAATTGATTATTCATCCCTTTCTCATAGAGTGAAGAATTCCTCAGAATACGGACATCATGCACTCGGCCAGGCCATCCTATATATACATCTGTGTACCTGAAAATAATTATTGTAAATTACAGAATGTAAAAATTAATAAACAATTGGTTAACATAAATTAATGTGTCGATTGCACCAACACACTGCGGAAAGCCATATAGTTGTCGAAATCCGTTAACTGTTTCGGTAAGCCGTTCCCCTTCAGGCCATACAATATATCGCTGCCTCAGATGGATCACTATTGCTCTACAAACAGAATGTACCACGGTACAAACCGTGGACCGAGCAACACCAAACAAATTGGCAACAGTTCTTAAGTCACAGTTGGTTGCAAGTCTATAAATAGTTATTGCAACACTTGTGTTGACAGATTCTTGCCGAACGTGTTATTTTCACGGCAAATATGTGGATCAAGAAGTTCACACAGGTACATAAACGTAGGGCGAGACATACGAAACATTTTCTCGTCATTGCCGGTTCGTGAATCTCTGCAGAACGTCTATTCTCCACCAGTTGTCACTCCGCAAAATCAGTCCTCTTTTAGGCCTGGGTTGGTTGTAATCGGCAACAAATGCCTCGGCGAGAGCAGCAATAACTCATCGTGTCCGGTCCTGAAGCCAGCGCTGATTGCTCAGAGCCTGGTTTTGACGAATCCCTGTCTCCTCCTGTTAAGTATGTTGTTCATACTTAACAGTAAAAACAACAATACAATCCATACCCGATACGTTTTGGCCAGCAGACGACAGAAATTCACGATCGGTAGCAGTTCTGTATTTTCGCGCGGTTGCGGTATTGTTGGTAGAAGCAAAGGTCATGACCCGACATCGCATCCCATAATGCAAGCTGACGCCGGTGATTTCATAAACATCAGCAAGTGACCTTCTAAACTACCCACTGAATTTACAAAGCATGAACAAGGGTTGGTTGTAGGGCTGCAGGCGACTTGCTGGGTTCATACCCGTTAAATGTGAAGGCAGGCTGTGTATGAACACAGTCCTAGTTGCCTTGTGCTTGGTGTGTTTTGAACGTTGTGCAGTGCTTGACTTGTGGATTCTGAAAAAATACAGATGTCACACAAATTTTAAATTAGACGAATTACATAGTCAAAATCCAAAGGTTTAAGGTGCCTGGATACATGAAGTCGACAAAAACCGTGGGTTTCTTTAATGTCTTGTTGTGTGAAAACTATTCATACTGTAGAAACACCTACAAACTATATATTGCTGGTAAGCTTATAAAATGACCAAACCAAATATGCAAACAAAATAGAATTTAATACAACTATACAAGAACTATACACAATGTAAAAGAAGGTATAAAATTGTTCAAAAATATCAACCGAGATTTCAAATTATTGCTTCTCTGTGGAACATAGTTGCCTAATGATAAAGTACATTTTCTGAAAATATAAATAGTAAAGAAAAATTTCTATAATTTGGAAATTGTTGTTTGATCACAAAAAATTTCACTCATACAAAATTCCCAGATTTTTTATCACATTTTCAGTCAAATTTTCTCCTAACCCCCCATTCATAAAATTAGTCATAGAATATCTGCAGCTCATCAAAACAAATATATGCTGAAAATTTGGTCCATTTTGGTTTACAAATACAAAAGTAAGTAGCAATTTTAGTTTAGTTTGGAGAAACAGCCACCTGAAGTTTCTGTTGCATTGTGTCGCATCGTTTTCGTTATTTCAGCTTCTATAAAACCCTACACAATCAATTTTCTTTCCAATATTTGCCCATATTTAGGCATTTATAGTATTACTAATTAGTCTAATCGTTGAATTGTCCTGGACCATAGTCATCCTCGCCTTCCATCTGTGAGCATTCTTCAAAGCTAGGTTGAGACGCTCAAGATCAACAAGTCTGTACCAGTCTTGGCTTTGTCTGTATCATATAAATGACCACTTTCTCTGTGATGGTGATGCTGTCTTCTAATTTCCTTTCAGATGATGTTACATGAAATGCCCCATGTCTTGATAAATTGGTGGGTCAGGCCTGGGGTCATGACTGATGTCATCTGATCTCCCTTCATCAGAGCTACTTGCTTGGCTTAGGGAGCCTATTTTCCACTACACTAGGCCCAGCTAATTCACCATCATTTTCTTCAGCTCTAGGCATTTTATGCCATGGAATTCCCTTGAATCCTGATGACTTGCACTTTCTAGGCATTATTATTATTATTATTATTATTATTATTATTATTATTATTATTATTATTATTATTATTATTGTGAACACACTATAGCTTTCTGAATAGTATTGGCAATAGAGGACAACTGCAGATAGTCTTAGAACATTATAGGAATTATAATCTGGTGAACTTTTATGGGGAATTTGGGAAAAAAATAGGGGCTAGGTTTATCTCTATATGACATAGGCCTTGGCCTTTTTTGACAGTGAAAGTTTAGCACCAACAACAGAAATACGATTATATATTATTGTACTATCATCTTCATCCATCAACAAATACACTGCCAAACCACTTATTTCTTTCAGTATCTTTTGATAAGCTGTATTTGTAACCATTTATTTTGTTTTTTTTTAATTTTATTTTTTGTTTTGTTTTTTTTTTTTTACTTTGTTTCATTAACTAAAATTGACATTTTCAATCTGGGAACTTAAGAGATTTTAATTGCCTTTAACCTGTACAGTATCTTGTTTTTCAGAATTAGCATTGCAGCTTCATAGCTCGCTCCTATGAGCTACAGACCAATTATATTTTCGCTTATATACTTGCATGATGTGTGATATGAAACTGTTAAAGGTAAGGTAAAGGTAAGCTTATTTATGAATCCTGTAGCAAAACACCCTGTTACAATACTAAATATAAGCAAAAAGGATAATACCAATAAAAAGATGACTTGCGTGTCAAAAACACTCGTTAGTTAATTGCCAATCAAAAACAGAATGTAATGTAAGAAGGTCCTGTAACCTGTGAGAGTGAAAGGCCTTCTGGATCATTGCGTCCTGATGAAATGAATGAAAAGGATCTTCGGCATGAGGCTGGTGATTTTGATGTTGATGATGATGGTGGTGATGGTGGCGGTTGTGATGGTGGTGGTGGTTGTGGTGGTGGTTGATATGGTGGAGGTTGTGATGATGATGGTGAAGGTAATGATGATGATGATACTAAACTACATCTGTATTTCAGTATTATTCGCCCAAATTAGACTTTTGTTCAGATATGTATAATTCTATTTCCAAAACCCAAGCTTCACATATTCATTCTCAATATTTCATATCATTTAATTTGGAATTTGATTGTTTATAGTCAGTGTTTGGATGTGGTGGTTATACTGTTTTGTCTCATTGACAGGTTGACAAATTACCTGCCTGCTAGAGGAGACAGACTAACTGTTTTTGCAAACATTTTGGATCTAAGGAAACTAGAAAAAAAAACATTGTTTGAGAAGTTGAAACAAAAAATGCAAAAACCAAGGATGAAATCAAGAGCACTGGATTATGTGAAACTCGAAACATTCTAAAGTTTTGTTACAGGATTACACATAATGATATGTGTGCAGGCAGACCAAAACTAGGCTCTTGTCGAAATTTTTAAATTTTCACTTTTTGTTAGTTTAATAAAGTAGACACAATTACCTTTAAAATGATGTAGAGATTATTAAAATTGATCAGGTATTTTCAGAGTTATGGTCATTTAAAAACATCCATTCAACTAGTGATATTTGGTTAATTTATTGAGAAATTCGCAGTCAAAGATAAACTATTTTAACAGGAAGTTGAAAGCACTGGCAGCTGGTACATACATATTATGTCCTTGACAACGCTGTCTTCTAGATAAGCTATGACCCTCAAACTTGGCCCACATATAGAATACACATTTCTCTATACAATCTGTAAATTTCATAGCTATCCAATACCAATAAAATATTTAATTATGGCTTCAAAGTTACTAATTATTTTCAAAATAAATTTTATGTTCCGCATTTATCTTTATACTTCTGCAAAGCGAAAATTAAAATTAAGTTTTTAAAACATCAAATCGATGGAGAATAATTTTTTATGCAAAAATGACTTGATGTCTAATAGGTACAGTTTCATAATAATAACATATAATACTTATTGGGTTAAAAAATTACCCATTATTTTATGAGATTATTTAAAAAAAAAAAAATTCTTTAAAAAAAAAACGAATTCTCTTTTACTTGTACTATTTTACTTTATTTTCACAGCCAAGTTTAATGTAGGAAAGAATTATAGGTGTTATTATTACTATAAGTAATATTACAGTACTGGGATACATAAAAAAAAAAAAACTGATGAAAATTCATGAGATTACTGTAATTAAATGAAGCAGTAAGATGATTTCACGCTATATCTTGTGCCATAATCTTAACTAGGGTACATTGAAAAATATAACTCATTACGCCATAAATATTACACAATATGTGAGACATTTTAATAGTAAAAAATTTATTATACCGGCCTAGTTTATATGGCACAAAATATAGTAATAGACAATTTCAATAATACATAAAGCACTCAGCTAGATGAATTTTATTTCCAATTTTATTTTAATTTGCAAAATATCTTTATTAAAATTTGTATATTACAATTTACATTGGTAGGCGGTCAAGCAGTCACTAACTCTATTTACAATTTACACACAGAAGGTCTGGACGATGGTAAATTATGGTGCAGGGCACACCAGATCCCGAGTCTCCGGTGTACAAAATTCGCGCACCTCCTTGTGGAGATAGCTTCTTCTGGCATCATCTAAACCCTCTATAGGAATTTTTTCTGGAAAACCATCTGGGCAGTCTCCCCTCAATAGTTTAATTTTAATACTTGGCGAATCTGAAAACTCTTTCACAGACACGGAATCATGATGCTCCGAACTGAATGTGAAGTGGTGGAACGACTTGATGCCGACAAGCCTTTTAAAGTGCGGCTTCAAAAAACTCTCCCAGTCATAGTAATGTACGTACTGTTCTCCAGACTCGCTGCCCACCAAGCAAGCTTTATTAATCCCTTCTTGGGTGCTGTTACAAACAGTTTTTACAATGTCGTCAAGGCACGACACATAGGTTCTTCTGAATTCTCTCTTAAATAATCCAAAACAACCATCGGGCGCAAATTTGGTATGCCCAGCTAGAAGAAATGACACAGTTATTGAAGTGTGCAGGCCGTTATTTATTCTCCAAAGCATGTAGTCCATCATTAGATTGTTTTTGTTTTGGCCACAACAATTGTCACAGTTTATAATCATATGTTTTTCCCCGATTCCGTAATTTTCTAAAAAATGGTGCAGGAGGCTAATAACACTGTTTGGCCCCTTCTTCTTCGAAATAATCTCGTCAGTGAGATAGTTGATCTGAAAGATTAATAATAAAATATTTTCGGGTTAAAATTGATATGTAATAAGGGTACCAAACTGAAAAAAGAAGACATCAATTTATAGGGTAGTTTTTTTTACTATTCCAGTGTACTACAATATTAGTGATACACATACTTTAAATTACACAAGTTGTTAAGAAGAAAGAATCTAATATAAAAACTTTATAATAAAAATAACAATCAGATCACAAGTTGTTGGTTAATTAACCATTTTATTTGGCATCATTTGTTACCTGAAAGAGTAGCGTTTTAAAAATAAAAATATTTGTTTTCACACAAAATAAATGCATATAATATATAAATATAACCATAACATACCTGGCATGGAAACCCCTCAGCCACAATTCCAAATATCTGACATTTGCGGCAAGTTTTGAAAAACACTGGACCAGGCTGCAATGGATTATACGGATAATGGACTTGCTGAGCATAGTCGAAAGAGTAATGGAACTCTATGTCCCTTGAATTTTGCTCAGACTTGGCCAGGCAATCAAAGAATTGACAAACAACATTCAATAAAAATTTGTTTTTTTAACATAATTAAAATAAGCTTTAAGTGAAAGAAAATATGAAAAGCTTACCACTTTTCTTCCTTCTCGGTATTAATCCATTATTATTATACCATGTCTTCAGGTTAGTAAATTTTCCTTTACTTATGAAGAACCAGCGCATTCTGGTACATTTTCTCTTGGCTGGCTTTTGCTTGGCTTGCTCAGTGTTTTCCGAGGTGTTGATCGATGCAGATATAATGCCCAATATCAGAAGGTCCTTCTCAAAGCATGACATCTCATCAATATTCATGCTGAAAAAAATATTATGATGTATTTAAAATTACGCATAAAATACTAAAGGATCTGCAAAGAAATTAAATAATTGGGGGAAAACCAAAGCATAAAACACATCAGTAAATATCCTAAATGTAGTACGACAAGACTGATTAAAATTAGCTAGTAATGTTTATAGATCATAATGCATAGATGAAATAAAAATCACATAAAAATATTTACCCAATCTCCTCGCACTCTAACTTGGTAAACTGTTCGATGCATCGTTGACCATTGAAGAGCTTACAGTGGCAGTGGCACTTTCGCTCCTTTATGTGAACTACCTCTTCTGCAGCTTCTCCAACCATAGCTATTGCATCCAATAATTCATCGGCTTCGTTCTCGTTAACTTCATAATTCATTGGTTCACCGAGAACAGCACGCAAAGCTTCATCATTGTCCGAGTCCATATCCATTGGTTGTGGATCATCATCATCTGAGTGTTCGTCAGAGTCATCACCATCTATGATACTCTCACCAGCAACTGAAGCAGCATCATCAGGATCTAATTTATGAAATTAGGAAAACAAAATTAAATTATTGAAAACTATTAATATTGTCAATGAGGTCTGGCCAATATTTCTAAATCTGAAATACATTATTCTAAAATTATCCTTAAAAATAGGGGACTTTGGGGCCCCTACCTACAGTAAAACTATCTTATCAAAATTTAGCGGCGCCAGAATCGATTTTTGACTGGCTAGCCTAGGATAGCTAGGCCCTGATCTGAGCATAATATGCTTGGTTTATTGGCTAGGGCTACCTAGAACTAGGCCTATTAGTTATAATAATAGCTTGGCCAGGCCTGGGAGCGGTTCTATACGGCGCGCAGCTAGCTCACAAATAACACTCGAGAACCTGAGCCTGGCCCTAAATTCGGCTAGCCTAGGCCCTTCGTCTAGGCTTGCATACTAGAGAACTGGAACAATAATAAAAACAAAGCGCACTGCATTAGCAGTATTTACTTACGAAAGAATAGAAAGAAAAATAATAAGTAGGTAAGTAAGCTGGAAACTAGGTGAAAACAAGCAAACGTTTTACCTAAAAATTGAACTTACCACCAAAATACTCGGTGAGGAAATCGCCCAAGTTTGCGACGCCCGCTAGACCACAATTTTCTGCATCATTCAACAAATCTGCCACATATTTACTACTTGAAGCCATGTTACCAGAATATCAGGTAAATTCAGTAGTAAAATTAATAGAAATTATGTAAAATTAATCGGACAAAAATTTCATAGGCTTTCCTCGACAGCGTGTACTTGCGAATGGAGCTATCCGGAAGTATTTTTTTTCGCTTCGGAGGGTCACGTGACTACTGTAATCCAATCAAATTTGCGGTCTCAATGCTCCGTGGCAACAAGAGGGCTTTGTTTACGGTAGAACCCACTAGAAGAATGCTTGCCATTGGTCCAAATAATAATGCATTTGACCCGGAATAGCTATTTTCAGAATATTTATTTTATGACCTTTCCAACCATACCAAATACTAGGGGATCGACTCGTAAATCACGATGCACAAAAAGAGTAAATAAAACACGAAATACAAGAAAATAAACATCGTTTCCGGACCGTTTTCAGTCAAAACCGAATGAGTGTCTTAGTTTTTGGTAATTTTCTTATATTTATAGTTAGAATTAGATAAAAAGACCAACATTTTTTAAATCTAGAGTAAATTTTCGTTAAGGTTGGCTCAAAATATAAAAATGGTAAAAATACAAGTTTTACACATTCAGAAGCATTTTACAGAAATCCCTATCTGCCGACAAGCGCCTACTTTTGATCTGGCGGTACACATATCATTGGAAGGTGTAGGCAGGCGTCCAATTTCCCACACCTGTGGCCCCACGCTCGAACTTCCATCAACGTATGCTAGTTATCCAGATTTTAGAAAAGAATTGGAAGAATTCCTAGCTAATGAAAAAACTTTGAAGTGGACACACAGATATTTCCATAACTACTGATATCGAAATTATTCCATTATTATCATTATTACTATTATTATTCTGATATTATTAATAAATATGCCAAACGTTATCCATAAATTATCCATGCAATTTGTTTTGGTATATTTAACATTATTGATTGCAATAATCGAATGTTATCAAACATAGTTGCAATATCATTAACTTCTTGTAGAAATAATTCATTGGTTGATGATAATTTGTAAGCTCTATTAAGCATAGTGTCTACAAGATTTCTTTTGTATTTATTGTCTACAATTATTGTCTACACTAAAAAACATTGCAGTGACAAATTGATTTGTTATTAATTCCTGGAAATCAGTGGTAATAAAGACATACATGTATACAATTTCATTGATATAAATCATTGCTTGTTAACACTCAAAAAATAATACTACTGTATACCTGTTATTGGAGACACTGACTCATTCTAATTTAAGTTAACAGTTTAATTATTGTTTGTTGGATTTATAATACAGCAGTACATTTGTATTTGTTTCCTTGTAAAAATGATCAAGAATTATACAAATTAATTTTTAGATTTTCAGTCATGTGATGTTTTTTTCTTTTTAGCATTATCGGTTGGTTAATTTCAAAATTAATTGAGACTTTGTATCATTTTGGTTAAAATTATATGAATTACTATTGTAAAAAAAATTACAAGACGAATACGATAATAAATGAATAATGGTAATTTTCAATAATGTTGAGTTTTTTTAATTCAATAGTAATACATTTACTGTATTATTGATATAAATCACTGCTCTAATATACTGTAGTTGTCTACAGATACATTGTGTGATTTTGTTGAAAAATTAGGTGTTGGTGTTGTGATGAATGGAAAAAGAATTAAAACAAAGTTTAGTAATGTTTTGAATATTGTTGTTTATTCAACTTTGTTTAACAATAATTATTCGTTAGTATTTTCTACAATGATAAACCAGATGGATAAACACAATCTACTACAGCACTTTTCTCACTTTTTTTTTTTCTTTTCTTTTTTTTTTTCTTTTATAATATTGATTCTTAAAGCTACAGTAGGCCCAGAGACAGAGGACAAAACTGTATTGATATGCCACTTACCTGACCATGGATTCAGGTAGAAATTCCTCAATGATTGATTGACAAACAGATGTGATAGATCTGTCTACTTTGGTATTGAGCACCGGAATAGAATACTGAAGTATGACTTCGGGACAAAGTAGACAGATCTATCACTTCAATATTCTATTCCGGTGCTCAATACCATTGTTGGTGTTGAGAGATGTTAGAAATCTATCAAGTCAGTAAGCCTTTACCCATCTCTGTGGAATATAATCATTTTAGATGTGTTTGTCTAGATGATTGTTTGGAATAATTTATACAAAGACAATATTGAAAAGATGACCAATTTTGTTGCATATGCCACACAGTGTACCTTAAGCATTAAAAGTAATTATTGTCAATACACCATTTACCAACCTATAAGTCATATTTAAAAGCAACCATATTGTTGGAGTATATTATAATATGCCAGGTTTTTGAAGGAGTAAATAATTATATCCTTATGCATATTTACCTTCTTTTCAGGTAGCCTCACTTTTTCAAAGTGCTTGGTTGAAATCTTCCTCCGTCTTCGCCCCAGCTAGAACTTTGGTCATCTCTTCAATATTGTATTTGTATTTTCTTTCTCCGTTTTCAGACTTATTACACCATGTAGTAATTGCTTTTATCCTGTGGAAGTCACAAAGGTGTACTTTTGACTAGTTTTCAAGTATTCAACCCGTGTCCTTGGGATGACACTAGCGCTTTTCATGTTTTAGTCTGGCACACAGAGAACTGTACCTCATCATTATAACACTCCCTAAAACATCAACCAAGCTACCCATTGTAGAACAAGATAAAATATTTTGATGAATTTGTTGTATAAAAGGAGATTATATCAAACTGTTTATGAGTTAAAATTGTGGGTTCCAATTGTGGAAAACAGATCGCTTTCCAAATTTCACTGTTCAGTTTCAAATATGTGTATATATACTGTCTCTTATACACATCTAGATGTGGAAAAAGCACCTATTTAAAGGACTTGGTCTTTGTGGTAGTTCATGAGTTAGATCGTCATTCACCAATCTCTTAAGGTGTCTTTTCATCTCACCAACTCTCTGTACTCCATTAAGGACTTGTCTCTTTACCTCTTGAATAATTCTTTTGTCTACTGGTATTCGTACACCTGATCCCTGTTGTAAAATAACGAGTATCATAATAATAATAATAATAACAACAATACCAGTGGTATCAGCCTATCCTATGACTTCATAAATATTCATTTGTGCAGTCAAGCGTGACGAGTCACTGGCGAAGGTCTATCATCAAATGTTAACATGCGATGTATTACGGTGTTCTTCTATAATTATGACTGTACACAGCCGCAATAATATTATAAACAGGAACAACAAATATAAAGATACTGTACTGTTCATATCTACAGTACAAGTATATATTCCACAACAAATCATGTACATACCAGTCCCACAACAGCTAAATTAAGGCATAGTAAAATGGTGTATTCGACTTCCTAACTTCAAATGGACGCTCTCATTAACAACATGTACTCCTACAGTATGGAATCCCTAGTTTCCAACGCGCAACACTCGTTCTTTACCGCACTAAAACATTATACTCTACCATTATACTACAAGGTATGTTATATATGTATGAACCAACAAAGGGCCTCCTATATGAATCTATATTCACCACATGGCTCCCTTAAATTTTTAACAAAATTTACCTACAAGCAGTATAACAATAACACAAGTTCAACAATACAATACAAAGAAATATAATGTTCAAAACGAATGTTTTTTTTTTGTCTAAATGCTCAAATGGTATAAGCAACAAGATCATCTCTTGATCAAACAGGATGCAATAATATCTTCATAATCCATGATTCGCAAACAGTCCAACAATGTTCTATTAAATCAACTTCAGATCAATGCTTTTTTTTTTTTTTTTTTTTTTTTTACATCGCAAACGACAGTCTGTAAGTGCTCCACATATTCTACACTACTTACAGATGTCACCTTCAGCAAGAAACTTCGTATCAAAAGGGCAGCGCTAGGCTCACACCCAATAGAGCACACAAAGGCTCCTTGGCGGGGATAACCCCTATAATTAGGACATCAATTTTTTTTTTTTTTTATATATATATAGGGCGGCGCTAGGCTCACACCCAATAGAGCACACAAAGGCTCCTTGGCGGGGATAACCCCAATTCCCTATTCATCTTCTCCAGTAATAAACACTAACTTGTGTACAGGTCGATCCATTTTTACATTTGATCCAACATACACTTGCACCTTTCGAACAAGACAGTCTTCACTGGGATACGTTGCAATTACTCTAGCAAACGACCGATGATTCCTAGGTGCATTTTCTTCAATAACAAGCACAACGTCGCCTATCTTCATATTTTTACTCTCCTTTGTCCACTTGCTTCTATTCCAAAATTCCTCAAAACATATGGTGAAAGAAACCCTAGAGGGTAAAAAATTGAGCTCACCATAGATAAGACACCTTATTAAACCATGTAGTAATTGCTTTTATCCTGTGGATGTCACAAATGTGTAAATAAACATAACATTAGAATTTAGTCCCAGCCAGTGTCATCACTGGCGGGGGGGGGGGCTAAGTTGTCCAACAAGGGGACTTGAGCTCGTAGGCTTGAGCTAGGAGATGGGGTTCCCCCTCCCAAATGAGATTTTTTTTAAAGAATATCAACCTCTAGATGGCCGAAAATGGCACTCTCAGACTGACAGACATAAAAATAGGCCCACACCAAGCCAACACGTTTTATGGTCTGACTACTTGACAAGCTCTGTTACCCTGCTGGCGCCGCCACTGTCTGGCACACAGAGAACTGTATCTCATCATCGTAAAACTCCCTAAGGCAGGCGTAAGCTAGTCCACGGATTAAAATTCCAAAGTGTTCACACAAACGGCGTTCGTTAAACTAGCAGTAATATAGGCCTATGTGGAGTGGAATAGTTTTCAGTTTTAAATAATGTACGGTACATACTAAAGCCATCAAATATATTGCTAATTTCATCTCTCGTCCATTATGTCATATATTTAATATTGCCTTAACTAAGGGTGTGTTCCCAGACAAGATGAAGTTAGCACGCGCCACCCCTATTTATAAATCGGGCATCAAATCTGACCTTTCTATCGACCAATTTCAATACTATCAATTTTTTCGAAGGCCTTGGACAAGGTAATTGAGTTTCCTCATTTATTTCGATATATGACATGCTTTATGAAAAGCAGTTCGGTTTCAGAAAAGGACGAGACCTTACCTGAGTTTGAAGTGGCGTATCATGGAAAAAACATATACACGAAATTGAAAACAAAATTTCAAAAAGCCTTGGTATTATTTTTAGATTATCCCCATTTGTACCCACTAATATTCTTCGTATTCTTTACTGCTCTTTAATCCTTCCTTATTTGAGCTACTGCAACATTGTTTGGGGCAATACTTATTTATCCAATATTAACATACTTCAAGTTCTCCAAAAAAAAGCTATTAGACTAAACGAGAACTTACCTGAGTTTGAAGTTTGATCTTCATTTCATGAAGTAATGGGAGTCATGGGAGGGTGAGATTATGTGCCTATCCTCACCCTCCCATGCTTCATAATAATATTATTTTCCTCAGGTCGTTCAATCTTAGAATTGCATAAAACCTTTTATCACTCTGTGGCCATCTCTATTTCAAAACTGATCTACGCATGCGCAAGGCTCGAATCTCACCAAAGAGTATAAATAGAACAAGAGAGCAAAGTC